ATCCACTGTCAGTTCACTGTCCTCCAACCCTGACTCCCACAAGAAAAACACCAGGTTCTCAAAATGAAATGAAACAGAAATATAATCCTGGGTTGTCTAAATATTTACACGATACAAAGTCTGAATCATTTAAACTCTCAATGACTAATCCTACTCTGACAACCCTGAGTGCATTTTGTACGAGTTTTAATCTTGTATTTTTGCGGCTTTAAAATTTCATTCTATTTCTAGATTATTTTTTCTACTCCCCTCTATGAATATAATTTGATTTATATAATTATTTGATTTTATATTTACTTGGTCACTATTTACGAAATTATAATAAAGGATAGTAATTTGTATATTTAATGATTATTAAGTCCCTTATCATACTATTTAAAAAGAAGTATCAGTTATCCAAACTTTAGATTGCAATATTATTTTTTAATATTATTTTTTTGGTAACTTTAAAAAAAAATATATATATGCGTTGGAAGACAGTGAACTGACTGTGATTCATTGGTTGAGTATTGGACAAGAGTAATTCAACCAACAAGGACAAGAAGCTTTACTTGACGAAGAAATCAGCTGGGGAATTAGAGTAAGAAGGCCAACCATGCGTATATTTATGATGGCAGTCACCAATGCCATCTTCCACTTCATCTTACTATCAGGTTTGACTTTTTTTATATCTGGTAAGAGATAACGAAAGGAATGCTTATCGTTGTCAAACCTCTCCGTCGTCCTTGTCTTCAGCGCGTTATTTAGATTTACCAAAAGTAATTCCTCTTTGAAGAAAACTTCGTTCGGTTTCGTTCTTCTTTGATCTGGCGTTTGATCTTCTTCATTATCGTCAGTTGTAATATCCTGGCTATCAATCGCATCTTTGGTCAAGGATTCTGATGCTTCCTTACCTTCAATATTAGGTGTAGTACTATCAGTTAGATTAATGCATGGCACTAAAAATTGAAGAAGTTCAAAATAAAGATACGGTTTCCTTCTGGAATTTTCTCTTGAGCGTGAAGATGTAAATATAATCCTCTCGATCTCTCTTAAAAAACTACTCCTAATTCCTTTCCATTTGTTTCTTCTTTTATTTAACACAGCTTCTCGTTTCATGAATTCTTCCAGTCGGTCATAATTTATGCATGCCTCTTGAGCAACTTCAGTCCACATCTGTGTCTTCAGTAATTTTTTGGTGTACTGATTGATTCTGTTGTCCCACAGACAAGGCCGATTTCGAATTTCAATAACTTCTTGAGGTCTATCACAGGCATTTTGAAAGAGGCAATTCGATACAATAATTATAGGAAGAGAAGTTACTAAAATAGCCTTGAAACGCTAGACAAGCTGAAATGGTAGAAGTCAGGGATAGTGTGGAGTGGTGTAATTTTTTTTTGTGTTGCAACTGTTACGTTA